AATCCGAGTAGGAGCGTTTATTCCGAGGCTTCCCGTCAAGTGACTTTCAATTATATATAAAAAAGACACTTTTAACACTCTATTTAACACTATTAAATAAAGTGAGGTTTATATATATATATATATAATATTGTTTTATTATATATATAGATGATATGCTCGATCTCAGGTTATCTTCGTATCCATAATCGTTTCCACTCAATTCCCGTAGCCATATTAATTTCATTTCAAGACTTTTCTTCCGCTGTGAGGCGAATAGTTATCACATCACAGTTCATTTTATTTGTTTCTAAAAACATTTTTCTATCTCTTAGTACTGTACTTACTTTCTGAAAGGCATCTTTCGCTATTCCTCTATGCCTTCAAATCTTTGTGCAACGCATTTACTCGTTGTTACTATACTACCGACAGAGATAGACTTCAGAATCTGCTTGATTTTGATGTTGCTAATACTTAGCTCAGGCTTCGTTTACTAAGAAACATGTATTCTACATTCCTACAGCTAAAGATTCGGCCATTCTTCTTATCCGAAAAAAATGTGGCTTTTATGAATTCAGTAAATACGCACAAACAGAAAGGGGCGAGAGACAAGGGTGTGTTCAACGTTTACAGTGAGAGGTGATCCTAAGGATTAGGTCAATTTAGATTCATTTTTGGCGGCAACAGTCTTAAAAATACATGATATGGATATGACATAGTGTTGATAGCAGACACCGAAATTAAACTACAGTAACCCATACAGAATGTCGTAAAGGAAAACGCAAAGAAAGGACGAAACATCAATTTTATAGTTAATGTGAATAAGTGCCGTTCCCGGCGTGTTCCTGGCTTTTTCTTTAGTTATAATCCAAATCAAGATTCGCAACCTCCCCAGCATGTTACTTGGCGGTATTTATTTTATTCTTTCTCTCACAGTGAGAGAGCCACTTGATTTTGTCCAAAGACAGAATACAGCGCCCTCTTTTTAAAGCTTTTGAGAGTTTGTCGGGGCCAACTAACTTCCCACCGTCATTGCGTATCATTTACAGATTTTTACATATAAATTTTTATGTCATGGGGTGCGTTTTGCAGGTTCCCTGAGTGTATGCGATATTATGCTATATGGAGAATTAAATGATGATGGATAAGTTCTTTTGGTGGATGTGCAAATTGTAACCAGTGAATGGATCGTGAATGTCATTAGCTAGGTATAAGATAGTAAGAAACGACCAGCCTCAGCTATTCGCGAAAGATGCCTTCCAAACTCTAAGCAAAATATTAAGAAACAGAAAAATTTTCTTAGAAACAAAGAAAAGAATACTGAACTGTTATGTAATATCAGTCCCCCTTTATGGCAGTTAATGCTGGTCAATATCCTCGTAGATGAAGATGAAACTGAAAGCAACATAGATGTGTTTCTATAGAAGGATGCTGAGAATACAACAGACTGAACATATGAGTAAGGAACCATAGGTTTTAGGGAAAATGGAAAAAAACACATCAAAAAGCGAAAGTCGAAATTTCTCGTACACATAATGAGGAAAGAGGGTTTGGAGAATTCGACATTGGTCATGTTGAAACCAAGGTAGAAAGAGAAAACATCGAATGATCTACTTAACGAGCTTGTGCATATTGTTGGCAGTGAAGGAATTATGGGAGATAGTAAAAAAGTAAAGACTTAGATACAAAGGACAGGAAGTTGTAGGGACCACGATTGGTCACGTTCCGGAGGGACAGGGCAAAAAGCAGAAAAAGAAAAACGAATGAAGAAAAAGAAAAACGGAAGAAGAAGAAGAAAAACGGAAGGAGAGAAACAGAAGAAGAAGAAGAAGAAGAAACTGAAGAAAACGGAAGAAGAAGAAGAAGAAGAAGAAACGGAAGAAGAAGAAGAAGAAGAAGAAAAACGGAAGAAAAAAGAAGGGAAGAAGAAGAAGAAGAAACAGAAGAAGAAAAACAGAAGAAAAACGAAAGAAGAAGAAAAACTGAAGAAAACAGAAGAAGAAACAGAAGAAAAAGAAGAAACGGAAGAAGAAGAAGAAGAAAGAGAAGAAGAAAAACGGAAGAAAAACAGAAGAAGAAGAAGAAGAAACAGAAGAAAAAGAGGAAAACGGAAGAAGAAGAAGAAGAAAGAGAAGAAGAAGAAAAACGGAAGTAGAAGAAGAAACGGAAGAAGAAGAAGAAGAAAGAGAAGAAGAAGAAAAACGGAAGAAAAAAACGGAAGAAACAGAAGAAGAAAAACTGTTGAAAACGGAAAAAGAAGAAGAAGAAACGAAAGAAGAAAAACGGAAAAAGAAGAAGAAGAAACAGAAAAACGGAAGAAAAACAGAAGAAGAAGAAGAAGAAGTAGAAGAAGAAGACGGCGACGACTTTGCCATATTTTTTGTTCATGAAATCGTATTAATTTCTGCGATTAGTGATTGTGGATCGTGTTGTAAAGAACATTATTTTAAATGTCAAAATCTTTATGTACATAAAATTCATACAAATCAAAAAGTTACCATGCTTATAGGCAAAAGACTTCTCAAAGAGCGGATGTGTTTTTTGTAAAAAATATTTTTATGCAATAATATCACAATTCTTATACAACATATAGGACATAACTCTGGGATAATGATCATGAATAAGTTAAGAGGTCATTACTAATAACTGCGACGGTGAGATTCTTAATGTCAAGTTTCCTGTCGTCTCCGCATTCAGTTTTCTTTTTTTTTGGCCTCAACCCTATATCACAGACTGCATCAACGACGGACAATTTTTTTTTTTTTAAATCGAACAATTTTCATTGTTTTGCACGGACAATGTTATTTTTTTAAAATTTTTTATTCGTTCTATTTTATGAGGTACCTTTGTTTCTAGAAGCAGGACACATGTCAACCGACTGTCCACTATCTGATCACCACGTGCTGGCTTACCTTACTAAGATATATATGAGTGATGCGAGACCTCTTAACCCTTTTAATTCGCCCAGACGCTTGACTGTCTTCGCAACTTTTTTTTTTGGCCCTATGTCTACGTTTAAAACGCAATCTACTTCTGCCAGAACTCCACACATTAAGGCATTCACAACTCAGTTAGGAACATTAGAATTCTGATCACTAGTTTCGTATTCCTGACCAGCCTACGTATTCTACAGCATTTAGAAATAGAATTCTAATTTTAATCAAGGTACCGCATTTTGTCTAAGTATGTAAATGACTTAATACCTTATATGCTTATCCAGTCTCATCGTCTCGACACTAAACATTGAATCATTGTTTCCTAGGTGTCTTTTCTCTGTTCAGTCCTCCAATGTTTTGCTGTCTTTAGTTGGTTGTCAGTTAAATATTTGAACACAAAAACATTTGAATAGAAAATTTCGAAAAGTATATGTTGTCCATATCCGTCTTCGAAGCACGCCGAACGACAAGATTCACTTTGACATTCCCAACATATTTTTTCTCTTTTTACAACAACCAGAATTGCATCTGTCGTCATCCTTACCGATGTGCAATGTGATTAATTTTTAACGCGTATCATTTAAGTAATTTTTCTTCAGGTTCATTTTTTCTTCCCATCTTTAACAATTTCTTTTTTTCTTCTGTCAGTCACAAGTTATAAAGAAAATAATTTACTAGGTAAAAGCAATAGATTGTGTTTTTTTTTATAGAGTATTAAAAAGAAAGAGAAAAAAAGTTTCGAATATGAGCATATATCATCTTTAATGTATAAGAAATTAAGAAAATCCTTTTTTTTTCTTTTCCCTTTAGCATTTAGACGCCAACACATCCAACCAATGTCGTGTGTTACGCACACAATAATTCCGATGAATTATTTTTTTTCTAATGGCAATCATATAACTATACACAAGCACGCAAAAAAGAGACACGCGTTAGTAGCTATACGCCATGTAACACAACGTTTATCCAAACAGAGAGAAAGATGCGTACATGAAAAGCAGGTTAAAAAAAAATAGATTTTAATTATTTATTTATTTGTCACCTTTTAATATTTTTTCCTGCTGTTCTTCTTTTTAGAGAATTCCAATTGCTTTGATGAATTAAATGTGAAAATAAAATCAGAAAAGAAGAAAGAAGAAGAAGAAAAAAAAGAAAGAAAGAATTCAAACTCAGAAAATCCAATAAGCTAATAAAAAATCGCAGGCGTGTGTTATCGTTATTTCGGCGCCAGAACCGAAAGGTTACTGATGGCGTCGGTCGGCTCCACAAACGAATAAATAAGAAAAGAAATGAACACAAAAAAAACCAAAAAAAAACAAAAAAACAAGGGAGATAATTAAAAAGAAAAAAAAAACAAGAAAAACATAACGGACAGAGGAAGAAAAAAAATATGATATCACAATAGAGAAAGAAAGATAGAGGGAAAGACGGGAAGTTAAATAAAAAGAAAGAAAGAAAAAAAAAGAGAGAAAATGTGAGACATTCTTTTAGAGAATTTCCGAAGACAATTCATATGAAGAAGAAGTTTTTGAGAGAGACGATGGAGATATTAAGATAGGTAAAAAGAATGAAAGAATAAGAAAAGCAAGAAAGAAACAGATTCCGAAGGAAAAATATAAATGAAACAAAAGAATGAAGTAAAAAAGAAAGACATTTTGAATATAGTTTATACAAAGATAAATAAAAAGAGAAAAGAAAGACAGTTTTCATAGGAGATTCCAAGGAGAATTTATATATATATATATATATATATATATACAGACACACACACACACACACACACACACACATATATATATATATATATATAAAGTAAGAAAGAAAGTAAGAAAAAAAGTTATAATGACAGATGGAAAAAGAGAGAGGGCTTAAGTGAGAGGCCGTGAAAAATAAATAAGTACAAATCAACTGAAAGAAATAAAAAGACATTTTTCAAGAGAGTCTCTGAGAAAATTTATAGAAAGATAAAACGGAAAAAAAGGAAGATTTATTATAAGATGACTGTGAATATGAAGATATCTAAATAGGGAGGAAGGAAAAAGACAGAGAAAGAAAAAAACAATTTCGATGAGAGATTCTTTATGACTATAGATGAAAAAAAACAAGAAGGAAAAAGAAATAGGTTTGTCGTGAGAGACTATAAAACAATCTATATAAAAAGAGATACAAAAGAGAGAGGAAAAAGAAGAATAAAATAGTGTTTGGGGAAGAGAAACGGTAAGAATGGGAAAGCGGTAGACAGAGAAAGAGAGAAAACAATATAAAAAGAGAGATGCCAAAAAAGAGATCACCATAGAGAGAGAAAAAGAGATACAGAAAGAGAGAGGGGTAAGTAATTAAGAATGACAAAGAAAAAGAGCGAACAATACTGAAAAAAGTGAGGAAGAAAGTGATAGAAGTAGATAGAGAGGGGGAGCAAACAATACGCAGAGGAAAAAAATGAAGGTAGTCAGAGAAAAGAGGAAATGATACAGAAAGAGAGAGGGGTAAGTAATTGAGGAACACAGAAAAAAGAGCAATACCGAAAGAGAGAGGAAGAAAGAGGCCAAAGTAGACAAAGAAAGAGAGCAACCAATACAGAGAGAGAGAGAGAGAGATACCGAAAGAGAGAGGAAGAAAGAGACCAAAGTAGACAAAGAAAGAGAGCAACCAATACAGAGAGAGAGAGAGAGATATACCGAAAGAGAGAGGAAGAAAGAGACCAAAGTAGACAAAGAAAGAGAGCAACCAATACACAGAGAGAGAGAAAGAAAGAAAGAGAGAGATACCGAAAGAGAGAGGAAGAAAGAGACCAAAGTAGACAAAGAAAGAGAGCAACCAGTACACAGAGAGAGAGAGAAAGAAAGAAAGAGAGATATACCGAAAGAGAGAGGAAGAAAGAGACCAAAGTAAACAAAGAAAGAGAGCAACCAATACAGAGAGAGAGAGAGAGAGAGAGAGAGAGAGATACCGAAAGAGAGAGGAAGAAAGAGACCAAAGTAGACAAAGAAAGAGAGCAACCAATACAGAGAGAGAGAGAGAGAAAGAAAGAAAGAGAGAGATACCGAAAGAGAGAGGAAGAAAGAGACCAAAGTAGATAAAGAAAGAGGGCAAACAATACAGAGAGAGAGAGAGAGAGAGAGAGATACCGAAATAGAGAGGAAGAAAGAGACCAAAGTAGACAAAGAAAGAGAGCAACCTATACAGAGAGAGAGAGAGAGAGAAAGAAAGAAAGAGAGAGATATCGAAAGAGAGAGGAAGAAAGAGACCAAAGTAGACAAAGAAAGAGAGCAACCAGTACACAGAGAGAGAGAGAAAGAAAGAAAGAGAGAGATACCGAGAGAGGAAGAAAGAGACCAAAGTAGACAAAGAAAGAGAGCAACCAATACAGAGAGAGAGAGAGAGAGAGATACCGAAAGAGAGAGGAAGAAAGAGACCAAAGTAGACAAAGAAAGAGAGCAACCAATACAGAGAGAGAGAGAGAGAAAGAAAGAAAGAGAGAGATACCGAAAGAGAGAGGAAGAAAGAGACCAAAGTAGATAAAGAAAGAGAGCAACCAATACAGAGAGAGAGAAAGAAAGAAAGAGAGAGATACCGAAAAGAGAGAGGAAGGAAGAGACCAAAGTAGACAAAGAAAGAGAGCAACCAATACAGAGAGAGAGAGAGAGAGAGAGAGAGAGAGAGAGGGAGATACCGAAAGAGAGAGGAAGAAAGAGACCAAAGTAGACAAAGAAAGAGAGCAACCAGTACAGAGAGAGAGAGAAAGAAAGAAAAGAGAGATACCGAAAGAGAGAGGAAGAAAGAGACCAAAGTAGATAAAGAAAGAGAGCAACCAATACAGAGAGAGAGAGAGAGAGAAAGAAAGAAAGAGAGAGATACCGAAAGAGAGAGGAAGAAAGAGACCAAAGTAGACAAAGAAAGAGAGCAACCAATACAGAGAGAGAGAGAGAGAGATACCGAAAGAGAGAGGAAGAAAGAGATCAAAGTAGACAAAGAAAGAGAGCAGCCAATACAGAGAGAGAGAGAGAGAGAGAGAGATACCGAAAGAGAGAGGGAGAAAGAGACCAAAGTAGACAAAGAAAGAGAGCAACCAATAGAGAGAGAGAGAGAGAGAGAGAGAGAGAGAGAAAGAGATCAAGGTGAAAAAACGAAAAAGAGGAAAGAAAACAAAAAGAGAGAAGGATAGTAATTGAGGAAAATAGAGTAAAAGAACAAACAATGGAGAAAGAGAGAGAAAGAGAGAAAGAGAGGGAGAAAGAGAGGGAGAGAGACATCGCGGTAGATATAGAAAAAAAGAATAAACAATATAAAAACAGAGAGTGAGAGGGAGTGATCGAATTAGACAAGGGAAAGAGAGCAAACAATGCAGAAAGAGGAAGAGGGAAATCAAGACAATCCGAGAAAGACAATAAAACTACACAAAGAGTGAGAGAGAGAGATAGAGAGAGAGAAAGAGAGGAGAAAGAAAGAAATCATGGTAGATAGAGAAAGGTAGTAAACAATACAGAAAGGAAAAGCGATAAAGAGATCGTGTTAGACTGAGAAAAAAAGCAAAGACTACAGCATTATAGCGTGACTGTCTGATATGTTTGAAATGAATCTCAACGACAAAGAAGAAAGAAAAGACACTGACAATAGGGCCTCCCGCTCATCTGAACGTCTCCTTTTTTTAAAGGACGTTCTTTAAAGTTTCCGTGCCACAGTCGCCATTTTTGCTGTGTTTTACTGTCGCCTAACGAACTCCTTTTTTGCTGATATCATTCAAACGAATGCCCGTCTTTAGCTTTGTTTTCCTTCTTTCGCTCCGATCACAATACCATATTCTTTTTTAGAACCGACTCCATATATCCTTCATCAGCTTCTTGCGTCAAAGGTTCCTGTCGGTAAGTTTTATAATGTATCTCGACCCAAGTGTCAGACATGGACACACATTGTTTCAGACCAATGTCTGCCCATATCAGGTTGAAACACCAGTTCTCGCGCGATCACCAAAGTTAAGCAACATCGAACCTGGTCAGTACCTAGATAGGTGATCGCTTGTGAGTACTAAGTGCTGTCAGCTTGGATGTGCGGCTCTGTGTATTGGATAGCTGCTCAGATTGGGAAACTTACACGCAAATACGCTTACCTGGAATAGAGCTCCGTCCCTGTGCTGGCGGTATCAAGGCTACGATTAGCTTGGACCTGCTCTGACCAGCTTGGACCAGCTATGACAAGCCAAGACCAGCTATGACTAGCTTAGACCAGCTCTGACCAGCTTGGACAAACTATGGCCATCTAAGACCAGCTTAGACCAGCAGCCCGAGTGAAAACACTCTGGTCCCTACGTTAAAAACTGACCTTGTGTCACAACCTTACTCACTTGGGGGTCAAGTAAATATCTACCCTTGGGAACTTCAACTCCTCGCACCATGGGGTAAATAGTAGATCTTGTATCAGTAAATCATTATTTTCGGCAAGCACCTTTTGATCTAAAAATATTTTCTGGCTTTAAATAATAAGGTTGATAAGCCGTAAAAAATCCAATCGAGTGAAAGTACTAAAATTTTAACATTTTCAAGTCTAGGACAATCGTTATATATCCTCGTATTCTTCCCACTTCCTCCTCTTACCTTCATATCGTTTTTTTTTTCACTTAGCTTCTAGCTTGAGTGACTTTTAAGCCTTGTGATGGGTGATCTTTATAAAAGCTTACTTCTTATATATGCCCAATGCAGTTCGTTCTAGTTTAAAAATATTAGAAATTAATTTTTTTGACCAGCGTAAAGTAGTAATTGGTTGTTATTGTCATTCAGAGGGTAATAAGTCGCAAAGGATTAGACAGGTACGCCTATCGTCCGGTCCTAATTGGTTATTATTGTCATTCAGAGGGTAATAAGTCGCAAAGGATTAGACAGGTACGCCTATCGTCCGGTCCTAATTGGTTGTTATTGTCATTCAGAGGGTAATAAGTCGCAAAGGATTAGACAAGTACGCCTATCATCCGGTCCTAATTGGTTGTTATTGTCATTCAGAGGGTAATAAGTCGCAAAGGATTAGACAGGTACGCCTATCGTCCGGTCCTAATTGGTTGTTATTGTCATTCAGAAGGTAATAAGTCGCAAAGAATTAGACAGGTACGCCTATCGTCCGGTCCTAATTGGTTGTTATTGTCATTCAGAGGGTAATAAGTCGCAAAGGATTAGACAGGTACGCCTATCGTCCGGTCCTAATTGGTTGTTATTGTCATTCAGAGGGTAATAAGTCGCAAAGGATTAGACAGGTACGCCTATCGTCCGGTCCTAATTGGTTGTTATTGTCATTCAGAGGGTAATAAGTCGCAAAGGATTAGACAGGTATGCCTATCGTCCGGTCCTAATTGGTTGTTATTGTCATTCAGAGGGTAATAAGTCGCAAAGGATTAGACAGGTACGCCTATCGTCCGGTCCTAATTGGTTGTTATTGTCATTCAGAGGGTAATAAGTCGCAAAGGATTAGACAGGTACGCCTATCGTCCGGTCCTAATTGGTTGTTATTGTCATTCAGAGGGTAATAAGTCGCAAAGGATTAGACAGGTACGCCTATCGTCCGGTCCATACTGCTTTCCCAGTCTTTTGAACGGGAGTAGAAGTTTAACCCTTGTCCTCTGCTTAGAAATGGGTTTCAGTTCCTACTAAAGTCTACTTCAACTATATATTTCTAACGTCTCCGAACTTTTATTTATTATTTATCATTTTATTTATTCTTCTCCTAAGTAGGAGTAGATAGGATCGTCTCGCTTCCGATTTCGATTTCTCCCCCGCCCTTTTAAACAGGAATAGAGGTTTAACCCTGGTTTCATGTTTAGAATTGGGTTTTCGGGTCCACCTCAAGTCTGTTTGCATTTTCTTTCTTTCCGAATAGATCCATGCGCCTTAGTGGCAATATCGCCTTGCTTGGATTGAATTAACTAACGCACAAACACACATGTCATAATTAAGTAATTCATGAATTAATTATGATCATTTCAAATCCATCTAATTATTTCTATTACGTGTATATCCTTGCTTGAACTGGTTTCTAATACTCTGGACTGAGCGGCTTGGGGATATTAGTCGTAGCTCGTGGAGGCACAGTCCTATGATTAAAGAGAAACTCGGATATGTTCCACCACGGAATATGTGAACGAGCGGCGCTATATCGAGTTTAATTCGTCACCGAGGCCCCTTGGTACAGTTGGTATGGTGTTTGACTCCTATTGTAACTGTTCTGGTTTCAATTCTCGGTAGTGGATGCGCACTGCCAATGTGTCCCAAATATAGGACGAAACGGCCGTCTAGTGCTTTCTGCATTCTGTTGAGATTTCTTCTAGACTCGATGAATTCATTAATAAATGATTATTTCAAATCCTCCGAATTATTTCTATCATATATATATATATATATATATATATATATATATATATATATATAATGAAATGGAAAAATTCCAACAATTATTTAAAGATATTTTATGTTTAGCATTCTTTTTATAGATACAAGTATTTAAGTAAATGCTCTGTTTATAATAAACAGAATTAAATAACATTTACCGGCCTGAATGTCCGAGAAATTTTCATAGAGAAGGACGAATATTTTCTATGAAAATTACTTAAATACTTGTATCTATAAAAAGAATGTTAAACATAAAAATGTCTTTATATATATATATATATATATATATATATATATATATATATATATATATATATGTATATATATGTATGTATATATGTATGTATGTGTGTCATCCGCATGCAGACCTGTTTGTTTCAGTGCGGCTAGACATCTGATTGCTTCAAGCCGGGTTCAAACCCCGATCGTTTTGGCATCAATCAGAGTTTCTACCCCTTAGCTATCAGCGCACAGCAAAGGGAAACAAACACCAGACAGCCATAATGCTCAATTCATTTTCAATGAAGAACATTCTGTTAGCGAAGACGGCTATTGTTTAGAATATTTACGAATGGATTTTTCATTTTATTAATTATTTGATTTGTTGCTTAGATATTATTTTTAATCGATTGCCATATTTGAGTAGATGGTTATTTTTTTTTATTTATTTCTTAAACAGTATATTTATTTATTTCTACCTACCGTTCTGAGTATTCAAGAAAGCTTTGTTAGAATAATATGCGAGTGGGAACCCCGTGGCGGTGTAATGGTTAGCAAGCTCGTCTCACTAGAACAATTACGACTGAGTAGTAAGTTCGATCTTCACTGGGTGCTTCATACTTTCGGCCTTGTGCCACATCTGAGCTACATTTGGAAAATCACTATTTGGGCACCCCGATGTAGCATAATAGTTAGCAAACTTGTCTCGCTAGAACAATTGCGACTGAGTAGTGAGTTCGATCCTCACTGGGCGCCCCATACTTTCGGTTTTGTGCCACATCTAAGCTGTGCTTGGAAAATCACTAGAATAATATGCGAGTCCAAGTAGGTATAAATAAATAAATATACTTTTTAATAAATAAAAACAGACCATCTAAGCAAATATTGGTATTCATTAAAATTCCTTTTAAGCAACAAATTAATATATATATATATATATATATATATATATATATATATATATATATATATATATATAAGTTCATGGTCCATTTCTGTTTTGGAATATATCTTTCCAAGATATAGAATGAAACTCCAGCTCTCAATTTGAGGAAAACACAAACGTCGCTGTTTCCAGTTTGTGGATTAAGTTCTTGCCTGGGTCATAGATGGATCCTACTCATTTGAATCTGTAATCCTAAACATGGCCTTCTCCAGAGAATGTCCTTGTTATATGTAGGACACATTCTTTTTGTTTCTCTTTACACTCTCCTTTGCTATATAGATATATATGATATATTGTTTTCCGCGTGTGAAATATGTATATATGTATATATAGCTTTGTGTATGTTTTACTTGTATAAAGGTTTGTCTGGGAACAATGAAATACGGTGTTATTATATTACGCATGTAATAATACCCATAATGGTGAAAATACAAATGAGAGACTAAATCATCCTAACATAGCTCTCTGCCGTTATATATATATATATATATATATATATATATATATATATATATATATATATATATATATAAACCTCGTGAGCCAGACAAACCTACCCAGGTTTCACCTAAGGCGATAAACAAAATCATACCACGTAACCACGTGGTCACGTGGTATGATTTTGATTATCGCCTATAAATATGCTGTTTCTCTTTTGCCTCTTTAGCCAGCTTTCCCTGACGACCCGCTTAGGTGAAACCTGGGTAGGTTTGTTTGGCTCACTAGGTGTATCTAGGTCTGCTCTACGGTTGTATTGAACTCTTTTGTTAGTTAGTTGTTTACTCGTGTCGGTTTTTTTTCTTTGGGCTTTGAACCTGTATCTGTGCGATTTTTTCGACAGACTTTCATGTTCCTGGCTCTTTCTTTGTTTAAAAACTTTTTGTCCTTCGAGATTGATTTGATTATTGGCAAATCAAAAATTCGAAGGTTTTTCAAAAAACGAGTATAGTTACCTATATATATATATATATATATATATATATATATATATATATATATATATATATATATATATATATGCTCTCGGAGAGGAAGGTGTGATTTTCTAAACAGTGGCTGTTGCTGCTGCTAATGCAATGCTCTTCGAGTAGAAACGAAGTCTTCTAGCCAATGACATATTTCGTATAGTAAAAACGGTAAAATTTCCCTTTCTCTCTGCCGTGCGATGATACCTTTGGGTTAGAATCTCTAACTGATGCCAAATCGGTCGGGTTTCCATCCCGGCCTGAAATAATCGGATGTCTATCCACACTAATGAACTGTGATATAGCGAAACGGTCTGTCTGTAAATGACTATATATATATATATATATATTGCTGGTATCTCCTGGCGAGTGGATAGCTGAACAGCCTTTCTCCGAAACTCTAGAGTCGAGATGCAGAAAATAACAACAATCCTCTAAGTAACATATTTCATATTTCTATTAATCCTATAAATCCGATAAATAGTTAATCATTTCAGTGATTGCTACTGTGGAGTGCCAACTTTGTATTCGCCTCGGGC